TCCTTCTGCCCCAGACGGTTTTTTTGTGAGAGGGAAAATCATCAAATGACTTCTCCCGCCCAGGTTTAGGCAGGAGGGAGTGTCAGACTCTTACTGACTAAAACCCCCCGTTCATTCTCCTGCCCTAGACCGAGACTGCGGTACCTTTTTGCGCTTAACCAACAAATCTGGCTAAATATAGTCCTTGTAGAGCCGCATCTGTGGTGGTCTATTGACTCTTTGAACTTTGAGCTGTACGCTTGTGTCTGGCTCTAGTCAGGCAGACCGTCCATTCCTTGCCGTGAAGTATGCCAATCAGAACGCCGAACAAAACTCGCACTACGCACTCATTGTTATAAATCAACTTTATGATTATCGTAATAAAGTAAAAAATCTTCTAAACTCAGCTCAATTTGTTCTAACCATCCGCACTCGGTATATAAATCAACTTTATTACAATTGTAATAAAGTAAAAAATCTTTCGAACTCGCCCCGGTTTGTTCTTCCCATCCTTCATGCTACCGGACTACAGCTGGTCTCACTAAAATATTCACAAAGTTTTGAACTGTTCCAGAGCGTTCCCGTGAAATGAATATGTACGGTTGAACGTGTACAGTATCTGGTGTTAAATTTGTAATGATATATGTCTGTCTTACTAACTAACAAGTTGTTGTGTGGTTATAAATTAAGTTCTTAAAAGCGCTTAATACTTTTTAATACTTTAGGTCTTCTTTGGCAGCTTAAAGAAAGAGAAGTAATGGTGTGGTTATTAGTCAGTCAGAGTTTGATGCTATCTCTCGCCCCACATCTTCAGCGAGAAGTCATTCAATTTTTTTATTGCGGGAGGTCGGCAAACGAGCAAATGGATTGACTGATGTTAATCAATCAGCCCACGAACACTCGCAACGAGGGATGAGTTACCTACGAGTGCGTTGCCGACCTTTTGGGGGTTAGGGATTTGGAGATTTTGGGATTGGGGAGGTATTGGTATAGGGGAAGGATTGGACCTCCAGTCACCTCACTCACATGGCGAATCATAACGCTGTGGTTATTTCACGCCGTTTTTCTGTGAGGCCGTGGTATCACTCCGGTCGAGCTGACCCATTCATGCATTTCATAGCTTTTCCCTCCAAAAAAGGTCTTTTTGTTTTGAGTTTTCGATCCGAATCGAGCCTTCAACATCATCATCATTATCAGCTTTTTTCCGTCCAGTGCTAGACATAGACCTCTCCAATTGCACGCCATTGAGCTCGATGTTCAGCTCTTCTCATCCAACCACTGCCAGCCACCCTGCGGATGTCGATAGTCCACCTAGCTGGAGGGCGTCCTACGCTACGTTTGCCTAGACATGGTCTCCACTTTAGAACACATTAAAATCGAATATACACTACTTTAGATTAAAATGTTTATTTGTTTTACGCGCTTATCTTCAAAACTGCTGGTTTGAATTTGAACAATTCTTTATGTCTTGGATAGTATTTTAATCGAGGCAGGTTATGAAATATCAGTCGAAGAATAATAGGCGGCTAGGAGGCGAGAAGCGGGTGAAACCGCACAGTAGTAGCTAGTTATTAAAATGACGTATAATAATATATTTTCCATTATTTATTCAGAATTCTTAGTCAACCGAAATAATCACCGCCAGCCATCCTTAAAATCGTCTGACCGGTCTAAGCAATCCATCAAAAGCTTTAACGCTTCAACAATAAAGTACAAATTCGTACAAATCACCCCAAATTAAGGTTAAAGGGCATTTCCTTCTTAAATTGTCAATAGCAGGAAACCCCATGTGCTTCAGTTTAATGATCGTGGTTTAAAACGAAAATATACTCTATTTTTTATGTGCTAAAGTTTACTACCGCTTGGTTTTTTTAAAAGCGACTCGTTTTTTTTTATTTGGTAGAACTTTAATTGGAGTTAAATTGCTTAAAGCAATTGATTTTACAATTCTATAGATGCTATAAAGTTATGGTACTGTCATGACTATAATTAAGTACGTGTGTCGCCTGGACAGTCAACCTCGCTACATCCTTGTTGACTGGACATCTACACTACATGAGCTGCTGTTTACATGTGAACATTAGCTCATAACGATACCTAAGTACGTGTGTCGCCTGGACAGTCAACCTCGCTACATCCTTGTTGACTGGACATCTACACTACATGAGCTGCTGTTTACATGTGAACATTAGCTCATGACGATACCTAAGTACGTGTGTCGCCTGGACAGTCAACCTCGCTACATCCTTGTTGACTGGACATCTACACTACATGAGCTGCTGTTTACATGTGAACATTAGCTCATGACGATACCTAAGTACGTGTGTCGCCTGGACAGTCAACCTCGCTACATCCTTGTTGACTGGACATCTACACTACATGAGCTGCTGTTTACATGTGAACATTAGCTCATGACGATACCTAAGTACGTGTGTAATATTATTAATATAGTTGGCCCTGAAAAAACCCGAAGTAGAAAGAAATGGTACGTCATACCATATAAGTATATTGTATTATTTGACCAATGCAATGTAGTTGGCAATGATTCTACCCACGCGGCCACGTTTTGAACGCATATTCACGAACTGAAAAGGTTGTACTTGTAATGGTTTAAAATAAGAACAATGATCTCGAAAGACTGCGCGTTTGGTGCGGTGGCTGGGCAACTTGCTGCCGTGCAACGTGTCGCGGGTTCGATTCCCGCACGGAACAACACTTTGTGTGATCCACAAATTGTTGTTCTGGATCTGGGTGTCATATGTATGTGAAATTGTATGTTTGTAACCGCACCCACGACACAGGAGAAAATCCTAATGAGGGGCAACGTTTAAAAAAAAACTTCCATTATTATTATCTATCTACATCTATATCTTATCTATCTATATCTTATCTACATATATAAAGAAAGTCGTTATCGTTACACTATTTATAACTCGATAACGACTGAACCGATTTGATGATTTTCTGCCCCCAAAAAGTGGTATACTTGGCGTCCTTGATAAATTGAATGGAGCCAACCTAAAGTGTGAGAGAGCCATGCTTTGGTACAACCGGTTTTTTTTGTGAGTAGAAAGTCATCATATGACTTCTCTCGCCCGGGGTCGGGCGGGAGGGAGTGTCAGACTCTTACTGACTAAAAACCCCTCCGTTTCTTCTCCTACTCAAACCAAAACATAAAAAAACCTTGAATTGCTTCATGCTCAGATAGCTGCAATATTGAATGCACAAATACCTATGAAGAAGACTGTCCATTTTATACCATGTAAGGAATGATATGTAATTGAAATAAATAGCCTACAATAACACGCAGTTTTCATCATCATCATCAGCCTATAAGTGCTTACTGCTGAGCAAAGGCCTCTTCGCACACGGAAAAGGTTAGATAATTAATCATCACGTTAGCTCAATGCGGGTTGGCGATTTTAAACTTATAATTAGAAATTATTAGTCCAGGTTTCTTCACGATGATTTCCTTCACCGTATGTCAGTGGTGTCTAAATAATCGTAGAAAGTACATATAACTTGGAAAAAGTCACATTGGTACTTGACAGGTTTCGAACCCACACCCTCATGCATGAGAAGCGGACTCCTTAACCTCATTCTCAGATAGTTGTAACATTCAATGCACCTATGAAGAAGATAGTAAATATTTTGAGGGTTTCTGCGTCTACCTTTATACCATTTTTTTATGTAATAGGTCGGCAAACTAGCAGACGGATTACCTAATGGTAAGCAAACAGCGCCGCCCAATGGACACTCGCAACGGAGGAGTTACGAGTGCGTTGCCGACCTTTTAGGGATTAGGGATTTGGAGATTTAGGGATTGGGGGACGGGAAGGATTAGGCCTCCGGTAACCTCACTCACACGGCGAAACACAATGCTGTGGTTATTTCACGGCGGTTTTCTGCGAGGCCGTGGTATCACTCCGGTCGAGCCGACCCATTCGTGCCGAAGCATGGCTCTCCCACACTTAGACACCACCATGAAAGGAATGATATGTAATTGAAATAAATAGCCTACAACAACACGCATTTTTACGTATAATATTCATAAAAATGCCCCTAACCGCACCCAAGAGCGTCGTTGAATTTTCATTTCACCTACGTTACACCAGTAAGGGGGGGATTCTTTATAAAACCAAAAACAAAAGTGCGTTGATGAGGCGGTTAACGAGCGTAGTTTACGCTTTCTGGGGACGGATAAAACCTTTTGAACCCTCGCACACGGGGTATTTAAGAGGTTCAAGCAAAATGCCACCTCGATTTTTGTATAGAATGCCTTAGGATAGCGGTTTTGGAGGTTTCTGTGGTAGAGACTTTTGGGCATTTTGTAATTGAAATAGATTTTCTTGTGCTGTGTGAAAATCATCCATAGACATCTCTTCTCGTTCTGGTAGAGGCACGAGAGAGTATCAGACTTTTACTGACTAAAAACACCCAGTTCCTTCTCCTGCTTAAGACCAGGGCTGCGCGCGTTTAATTATTGCACTATTTTTTCGCGTAGATAGATTTTATGCTGTGGTTCTTGTTATTTGGTTTTTCGTCTTTTACTGACGCCCTTGGTGTTTTTGGCCACGTGTTATAAAAATAACCATTTATCTATCTTCCAGATGAATCGTAACCTGGTTTGTACCAGTCTCATAAAAAGAAAATTATTTTACAAGCATTGACTACATAATAACATTTTTTTAGATATATAATAGCCAGGTTGGCCAAGTTTTATTAATGTCTGTTCAGTAGATTCCAAGATTTTGGAATTGAAAGTTTATATGGCAACATCCGAAGCGTACTTTTACCTTACTTCTACCTAACTCTAGATGATGATTTGAGTAGTTCCACTTGTGATTGGTTAAACACTTATTATAACCATGTATCCTGCAGGACTCCTTTTAAGTCCAATCAGTCTAAAACTCAAGAAAATGTGTTTATCGGCTCTGAAATTTTCCCAAACAAAGTTTTCGTCCTGACCTTACCAACTTCCAGTATCACTTGTATTTATATTTCTCTCTCATTTGTTCCAGAAACTTCGAGCGAACAGAATGGAGCAGCTGGAATACAAACGAGAGAGGTCCAAGAACTAAATAGAGGATTCAAAAGTCAAACACATAATGAGCTAGACATCAGACATTGTGATAGTAACAGCCAATCAAATAGGCCTATTTTATTAATTACAATTACTAATTAAAAATACCTATATAAATCGCGTTCCTTTAGCATATAGTGTCAATTAGCATAAACCAAAGTAAAATTAGGATCCTACCTCTATAGAAAAAAATTCAAAAAAACTATATTTTCGAACCAAAGCTAGTCTTTTAAGCATGTCGAATCAGATACCTATATATAGCCAGGTTGTACCAAAATCCCAATACCGGGCGAAGAATTCTAAAGTCAGTAAGTCCCAAAATCCGCCGAGAAACGATTTCGACCCTCTAAATTATAATAACGGAGGGAATTTCGCTATGAGTTCTCCCCTTGATGGGAAGGAGAAGAAGGAGGAGAAGCCTAGGAGGGTTAAAGAGGATTCTGGGAGGACTCGAAGAGTGAGGAATGAGGCTAGTGAGGGGAAGGTGGAAGCTTACTTGAGGCAGTACCAGGTCAGCATGAGGCAGCAGCAGCATCGGCATTCTGCTGTTAGACAGGCTGAACATCGGGTTAATCTCAGGTAAATATTTATTTATTTCAGCTTTTGCACAAACATTTATGTACAAGTTGAACTGTAATGAAATGAAATGATATGAAATCGTCTATTCGTAAACATAGGTATATAAAGTTGTTTGAATGATTGACATACAGTGCAATACAGCGATTCCGTATATGTTTTGCCTTGAAGCATACAAATTTTTAAGTAGAATTATATAAATTGAGATAATAAGAATACATTATTCATAGTCATTTAAGTATCTACACAGGAACAAACGTTTCATAATGGAAGTTTAACCACTGAACCATCACCATTAGTTACACCATGAGCTTTAATTCCTAATGCAGAATCTCATTTGGTTAAAGAATATAATATTATGGGATGTCATGATAAGCACAAAATTACAAACAATATCCAATGTTAGTATATATCAAAGATGATTCTATGGATCAACATGTTCAGATGAGCACGTCAACGGTAGGAACAAGAAGCATGCAAAATTGGGAAATTATCTATGATATTATATGTCATGTATTTTATAAAGTTACGCAAGTATCATAAAAAGATAGACGTACAGAAATCGGAAGTAAACTTACTTACATGTTTTGTTGATATGCTTAAAGATTTTTATGTACCTAATGCCATCGTTTAGCCGGGATTGTATCCAGTGCCGGCGTAAGGGCCACTGACACCCCGGGCAAAAATATTGAGGCGCCTACTTGAGGGAAGCAATATCAAGTGTTAGGTTTTTGCTGATCGAAAGTAAAATTATATCAAGAACCTCATCTTTCTTTTACCTTTAGAAAGTTCCTTTAGAAAGTTTTGTAGAGGAGAGGAACAGTAACTGTAACAATATCAAACACAATACAAACCCTCAAGAATCCATCTAAAAACATCTCAATAATAAATATGCATATGCACAGAGCGTAAAGCACAGTTCTGAGGGTTTGTACCTGGAGAGGCAAGAGACTCCCTCGGCGCCCACCAGAATTTGTCGCCTTGGGCCATCGCCCCATTACGCCCCTCTAACGCCGGCACTGATGGTACCGGCCTAATTAACTTTATATCTTATTTATATGTATCTTTACTTAGAACTTGCATCTGTAAGGTAGGCCAGGCCAGGTCCAGGGGCTGAACACTATAGATAGATTTTTATGGATTTAGAGTAAGGTCATTCAACTTAGCATTTATGGTCATTCAATCCAAAGGTGTGAAAGGTGATAAAAGATATCTGCTACAAAATTCAGTTGCGTGTTTTAAAAATAATAATTAGGCACTTACATTTCCAATTAAATAAAAAAAAGCTTGTATGAGTCAAGAAATCATAGGATTTGATCGACAGATCACGCGACTACATTCAATATGGTTTCTTTAGAGCATTGAAGAAGCAGAAAGCATCGGCAACCGCTAAAATTGTATTTCAAAATTTCCAGATCTCTTCCTCTAAATGACGTGGCGACATCACGCGGCCATGACCGAACGCCGACTGACCGTCACCGAGGCTTCCCAGAGAGAGATAGAGAAGGTTCCAGAGAACATCGGCGCGAGAGAGACAGGGATAGAGAACGGGAGCGGGATCCTTTCGATTTTGATGGTGAGTGGTAATTTTTTGAGTAATAATCATATCATCATCTTCCTGCCCTTGTCTTGTTTTATTTGGGGTCGGCGCAATATGTTTTTTTCTTCCATTCTGTCCTGTCACCCGTCACGCTATCACTAACTCCTCTGTCTTCCATTTCACTTCTCGCACAATCCATCCATATTTTCTTTGGTCTCCCTTTCCCTCTCCATCCCTCCACCTAACGGAAAATACCATTAAGTATCGCGATAATGGGCGTTAATCGTAGATGGAATTTGATCACAAAACAAATGATTTAAGGTATATTTTTCATTGTTTAATATAATCAATTATCGCGACAATTAATGGCATTTCCCGTTAGTGTGGCCCAAGCATTAGAACATCACATCAAATCATCAGCCTATAAGTACCCACTGCTGAGTGAAGGTCTCACATCACATGGGGAAGGTTTGAGCATTAACCACCACACTTGCTCAAGGCGGATTGGCAATTTCAAGCTTATAATGAGTAATTATAAGTCCAGGTTTCCTCATGATGTTTTCCTTCACCCTATGTCAGTGGTGTCTAAATAATCATAGAAAGTACATATAATTGGAAAAAAGTCACATTGGTACTTGCCAGGTTCGATCCTCTGGGCACATTTACTTCGTTTCGTTTATTTTTAGCTCATTCCATTGTTCTGCTAATTTCTTCTGGTGTCTTATTGTTATTATTAACTCATCTGACCCTATATAAGAGAACACAAGTTTTAATACAATCAATGCATCATAGTAACGGCTTTAGCAACTTTCGTAAACTTCTGTATAGTAATAGATGCGCTGTGATTCCCTTGGGAGAGAAATATTGAGTTAGAAGTTTGTAGCTTTGCTTCGAGAGAGAGCCATTTCAGCTGAGTTCTTGTCAAGTCATCTGATTGGTTGACTGAATTATCAACAACCAATCAGATGACTTGACAAGAGATTTGACACCTAGTTAGTTGATTTCAACATTGATCGGGCTTTCGGAAACCGGGCATATGTAATGATAATACAGGTTCGGTTGTTGTAAATGCGACTCCCAATTATTAGACACTAGCCACATGCACTGCTTCGCCCCGCGTTGTATGTTGCTAAAGTTAGCCTATGTTATATTTCATAGTGTATCCTATGCCTGTGTCAAATTTCATCCAGATCCGACTAGCCGTTTTGGCGCGATCGGCTAACAAACATTCAAACATCGTAACTTTCGCATTTATAATACCTATTAGTAAATTTTCATTTTCATTTTTTTTTTTAGCTAGTATAGGTCCTAGACATATCTGCTCTAGAATAACACTCTCGGGATTTATCATGGCCGTCAAATCTGACTCCAAAATTCCTTATTCCAAAACAGAACTGTAATACACGAACTACCATCCCGTCGGGAACAGAGTTATATTGAATTACGGACTTGTAAGCTATCGTGGTTCGCTTAATATTTAATTGGCTGCCCAATTACACATCTAACCATGGTCTGGATTCCGACTGGAGTCTAGAAAATGTATTATATATATACTTGATGTATGCTGGGGGTGTTTTTACTCGAGTTACCTACCTTCAGGTACATTCTAATTGTATTAAGACACCATTGACGTAAGTTAAAGGAAAACATCATGAGGAAACCTTGACTTATAATTTTAAACTTTAAGTTTCAAATCGCCAATCAAATTAGCGTGGTAGTTAATGCTTTCTTCGTATGAAAATAGGCTTTTGCTCAGCATTGGGCACTTATAGGCTGATGGTGTGATGATGATGATATAATTTAATGTGCTTGGTGTTTTGTGACAAGGGTGCACTCCTTATGAATGTTCGTACATTATTACCACCGGAATTCTTTGTTTATCTGTTATACTTGCAACCACTTCCCATGGGAAGCTTGTATGGTTTTTTAAGCCATTGATTACTGTCAAAAAACTGTTAATGTCAAATCATCCGCTACCGTAGGTCACCAGTAAGTGGCGGTTAACGTTATTTTATGTTTAAAAGTATTTTCATTTCGTTCTAGGAACGCCCCTCAGCCCCATAGCATCAAGGGCACACGAGAAAGACTCACGTCCCGTTCGAAAGTCCTCCTCAGCACATCGCGTCACGGAGACCAGCATATCCACAGACAAGAGGAAGTTCTTCTGCAGGGAGTGGGCTTTTCAGAAGATTGCTCACTGCCTGGAACAGCGGCCAGTCAGCAAGACCTGTGGGGCGCTTATACTGGGTAAGTGTTTGACGGTTGGATCAGATCTACAGATTTAAAGGCTCGTGGTAGGAGATGTAGTTATAAAGGGGTCAGTCGGGGTTGGGTACAAGCGCAAATAATGTATGGCAGCTTAGCCTGCTACACTGGACGGTTTCTGCCCTTCAATAATAATAAAACTAATTACTATGTTTTCGGCTTACTCACGAAATAATTTGACGAGATACTCGACTAGTTTCAAGCCAGTGTATAGTACATCTTGTTGGTTTTTTTTATGTAATAGATCGGCAAACGAGCAGACGGATTACCTGATGGTAAGCAAGCAGCGCCGCCCATGGACACCCGCATTGCCGACCTTTTAGGGATTACGGATTTGCAGATTTAGGGATTGGGGGAGGGGAAAGATTGGGCTTCTGGTAACCTCACTCGCACGGCGAAATAACGCTGTGGTTGTTTCACGCCGGTTTACTATGAGGCCGTGGTATCACTCCGGTCGAGCCGACCCATTCGTGACGAAGCATGGCTCTCCCACACTTCTAACTAGTTAACCGTCAATAAATTAATACTTTTCTCTCCTTCATGCAGGTGATGCGGGCAGTGGTAAGACAGCTCTGTGCCAAGAGTTGAGTGAGCCAGGCCAGGGTCCGCAAGCGAGACAGCAACGCGCGCTCAACCGTAGGCTACTTGCAAGGCACTTTCTGCAGGTATTTAAGTACTAAGTTGAAGTTTTTAGATCGTAGGCTGAAATGACACATACAATTTTGTATGTTGGTAACACAGGCAAAATTTTATTTTTCTTACTGGTAATACTGACTGTAATACCAGTAATAAAAATAAAATTACCTCATTGAGATGGTCATTTGATCATTATTTTCAGAGTCACACAGAAAGCAGCTTGCGTCCCGGCGAGTTCGTTCGCTCCTTAGCCATGCAGATACTTAGTCACTCCTCCAGAAGACCAAGAGCTGATAACTCTGACCTGTCTCCCAGAGACCCTGATACTCCACACAGTCACAGGTACGATCTTCAACCTTCGCTTCCAGATCCCATGGCGGTTATCCGGCAAGAAGGTTCGCTGCCTCCCCTCAGATCGTGTATAAGGCGGGTTGATGAGATAAATGATACGACGAAGGTTGGAATGATACTGACTATATTTCAATAAACATTTGGTTAAATAGAGTACAATAAGCATGTCTATATACTAACTTACATACTGCACGTGTGATAGCCGCGGATTATGCGAATGTCCAACGCCCTAACAGGGCGCCCTGTAGAGGGCCATGAATCGCACGATCCCCAAATAGGACGTCCGGCAGGTCACCTAAAGTGGCTCAAATACCGGTTTTCTTTGTATTCCCGTATCGGATTTTCTTCTGTATCATGGGTGTGGTTTTAAACAAATAATTTTACATACACATCACACCCAGACCCGGAACAACAATTTGTGGATCACACTAAGAATGGTTCCGTTCGGGAATCGACTGGCTGACTTCCGAATTGACGTATAATTTAAACCTACCGGTTTATTTTCCTACTCTAAGGTTCAGTACATTATGGTACTTGCAGCCACATTCTAAGCTCGGGGTTGCGGGTTAAGCGCAATGAGTCACCGCGACCTTGGCCCAGAGCAGGAGAAGGAACGGGGGGTTTTTAGTCAGTAAGAGTCTGACACTCTCTCTCGCCTAACCCTGGGCGGGAGAAGTCATTTGATGATTTACCCCTGATAGCCACATCCTAAACTCAATATTGAGCTTCTGTTTATTTTTTCATTTGTTTTCAGACGTAATTCTGAAGAGGAGCGTTTGATCAGCCGGTTCCGTGAGCTCGGAGATGATGGCGAGGAGAGCTCGAAGCCATTGCTTGCTGATAGTGAAGGTATGTACTTGTATCTTTACAGGATACAAGCGGACGCTTGCAGCTCCGTCCGCGTGGATGTCGTGATTTTACACGTTTCCCATATATTTTTAAATGTTATCTTCGCACAAACCTTTTTTGGTCTTTCACGAATAATTCAAGACCAAAATTAGCCAAATCGATAAAGGCGTTGTTGAGTTATAACATTACTATGAAAAGTGGCATTGATTTTTATATATATAAAGATGTTGGCAAATAAGCTCTCAGATTATCTGATGGTAAGCATATGGCGTTGCTGAAAATACCAGAGGAATTAGAAGTTGCATTGAGAATATTTCGTGAACCGGGGAGTTGGGAATTAAGGATAGATAAAGGTGCCTCCGGTAAAATCACTCGCACGGCGAAACATAACGCTCGGATTGCATCACGCCAGTTTTGTGAGAGGCCGTGGTTCATTAAGTTTTCGAAAGCCATGCTTCGGTACGAATGGGCTGGCTCCACCACACTCATACCACGGTCTCACAGAAAACTGGCGTGAAGCAAAACCTATGTTGTGTTTCGCTGCGTGAGTGTGCTTACCGTAGGCCCAATCGTTCTCCCTCTATCCTCAATCCTCAATCCTCAATCCTCATATTCCCTATTCTTAAATCCCTAATAACCCACAAGAGGTCGGCAACGCACTTGCAGTAACTCCTTTGGTATTAAAAGTGTCCATGGGCGGCGCTGATTGCTTACCATCAGGTAATCCGTCTGCTCGTTTGCCGACCTATGAACATAGAAAAGAAACAACTACGGTTGATCTGCACTCAAATGTTCCTTTTTAAAATAACTAACTATTTAAGTAAGTTTACAAATAGAAATGATAGATTTGTTTCTATCTATTAACAGACCAGCGTACGGACGAAGAAGATGGTGGTTGCAGTTCTCGCCCCCGTCCCTGCAGCCCCCCAGGGGGGGTAGATCCCACTACGGACACCACTGCCGATCCCCATGCCGACGCACCGCTCAGCGCTCTTGATGATGTGAGTTTTAGATCATATATACTTTACTGAAGCATAACCTAGCGAATGATTGTTGGAATTCTGGTTCTTAGTCAAATACAAGGTAAATAAAATAATTTTTAACAAATAAAAACCGACTTCAAAAAGTAAACTAAAAAGCAAAAAATATATTTACTTTCTCAAAGTAATACATATTTTCATTTAGTTAAATAGAAAATAATATTTAATAACTATTTTATAATCTTAAAGTCGGTGCCTACAATTTTTGAAAGTACCCCTCGATTTCTCTGGTCTTCCATCATCAGATCCTGATTTCCTTATCATGGGACCCACTAGGACTATATCTCCTTTCCAATAAAAAAAGAATTATCAAAATCGGTTCATAAATAATGGAGATATCGGCGAACAAACATAAAAAAAGCAAATATACGGTCGAAATGAGAACATCCTCCTTTTTAGAAGTCGGTTAAAAAGACTTATCTTTTGAACATATTAGACTGAACAAAATGATAACTCTCATCTTGATTCTCTAGAATAGCTTAAGTTGTTCTCAAGTGGCTTAAGGATATTTTTATCGTAGCCTGGCTTTATTCTGCCTAGAGCAGGAGATGGGACGGAATGGTTTTTAGTCAGTAAGAGTCTTACACTCCTTCTCGCACCAACCAAGGCAAAAAGCCTTTTTTCTCCTATATCGTAGAGGTTATACCCAGACCCGGAACAACAATTGGGTAGTTTCCTATGTCAAAAATAAATTAATTCGACGTTTCTATACAATAAAATATTGAAAAATAACTATACTTTTATACATCGATCGATCGATACATTGAATTTTAGATATTTTTTAGCTATTTTTTAAGAAATAAGTAAATTGTTTGACGCTAAAAAAACTATGACGTCATAACTCAGTTTTTCATACAAATTTCATAGACAAGTATCGTTTTTGACATTTGTTGAATAAAAGTATTGAATTTGACTAGTTGGAAACTACCATATTTGTGAATCACACAGAGTTGTTCCGTGGGGCAATCGAACCTGCAACCTGCAGCCAGTTACCCTGCCACCGCGCCAACCTTTCAGTGTATTCCTTTGCTAATGAAATCCATCCATCTTCCAACAGTTGCCAGAAATCTTGCCAAGATCGTCAGTGAAGCCGACAAATCCTTTCGTGACTGATGAAAAAGATGATCTACGCTTGTACGAAAACCACGAAAACTTATTCCTACGAAATATTTCACAACGACAGTCGAAAGAAATGAGAAATTCGAGGCTTTTGCGCCAGTCTTCTGAACCTCTATCGGAGAAGAAGACCAGTCTACTACAGAAAAGTCTGTCTACCGAGCAGAAGAACGATAGCTCTGGCGAAGATCGAAAGGTGGAGAATAGCCCGCCCAAGTCCAGGATACCTGTGGCTAATTTCAGGTATGTTTTTTTTATTTATCCATTTAATTCAGACATCGACGGCCCGTATAAACATATACAATACTATACAAAAAATATAAAACTTAAAAATAATAATCATATATATTACATAATATTTAGCTCGAAAACTATTGCACATCAATTGTCGGCGTCATGTCTCGCTAACTAGTGGTCATGTGCCACGAAACCGGCGATACACGACACCCTTCGGCCAGAACTCTTCCTTGAGGAACTTCTCGAGATGGTGTGTCGGAACTCGCACCACGAATGAATTTTTTTGTATAAGTGTCTACTTTTAATGTTATCTTAAGTTTTAACTAGGTACTGTCCCGCGTCTTCGACTGATGCTCGGCTCCTACATATCGTAGCGTGATGTTTTATAGCCTATAGCCTACCTCGATACATGGACTAACAAACACAAAAAGAATTGTTAAATTCAAACCAGTAGTTCCGGATATTGGCGCGTTCAAACAAACAAACAAACTCTACAGCTTTATAATATTTTACTATAGATTAAGATTAATTATTTAAAGATACTCAAACAGCTTTATAGTCAAATTATCTCGTATTATTATTAAAAATAATTACTTACGTGACTTTATATATTATATTGTATTATGATAAGTCGTTGCTGTACAAGCCACGCGTCTGTGGAATGCTTTGCCAGTGACAATTAGACGTGCGCAGTCGCTGGCAGTTTTTAATAAAATGGTGAAAGATCACTACATGGCACAGTAATTTATTTACTATCACTATAGCTATTGTTGTGTATTATTTTTAGTATATCTTCTTTTCTACTATTTATTTATTTACTCTTTATATCCTTAAACGTTATGTATTATTTTTTATTTTTTAGATCATCTTTATGTATGCCGTAAACTGCCCGTATTAAATTCTTCTACAATTAAACTCTATCCAAACGTTGCCTGTAAGAAATTGCTTTTAAGCGATAAGACTGTTTCCTGTGTTTTTTTTTATCATTATGGTGTACAATAAAGAATATTCATTTATTCATTCTTTATTTAGAAAAGTTTTACTATCGTCAAGTCATAACGAGACTCTAATTATTGATAAGTAGCGTGCAGCGTCGAGGCGACCCTCCTCATATATTATATATTTATACTTAACAAAAGTAAAAGTAAAAAAAGTTAATACCTTGCTAACTCACGTAAATAACCGACGAAGCTCGTCTTATTTCGAGCTACACCGGGGCTCATAAAACTACAATAAAATATGGTGTTATAACAAAAATTAAAAAAGAAAAGTCATTACACGAACAGAATACCCTACAACAATTATTATAAAATACACACCCCTTCACAATTTCAGGTACCCCAACAAAAGTGACCTCCGATCCGCTGAGAATTCACCATCCAAGAAACCAGAAAGGCCTTCGACTCCTAAAGAAGAGCTGCCGGAATACCAGAACGTTTTGAAACCAGAAGAAGAAGTACAAGAGAGTGAGAAAAAGAAAGAAGAAGATGTACCGCCTCCCATTCCTAGTCTTCCTATAAGCCCTAGGACTTTGATAGCTAATGCCTATTATGATAAACTGCTGTCTGAACCTGAGATTCAGCAGGTATGTGTTTATTTCGTTCTTTTTTTTATTTGATAGGTCGGTAAACGAGCTTACGGATTACCTGATGGTAAGCAATCAGCGCCGCTCATGGACACACGCAACAACATAGGAGTTACGAGTGCGTTGCTGACGTTTGGTGATTAGGGATTTAGAGATTTAGGGATTGGGGAAGACACCAAACGGACTGGCACACACAATGTTGTACTATTTGATATTTATTTTCTAATTAACCTTCAAAAGTCGCTATAGTGGTCCGTTTTGTAATAAATGATTTTTTTATTATAACTTTCGTGAGCCATTCTAAATTAATTATTATGTTTTCGGCTTACTCACGTAATAATTTGACGAGATACTCGACTAGTTTCAAGCCATGCTTGCTTGCATGCGATACGCGACGCGGCGACTGTCGCGGAATGCTGCTCATGAATATGGGCCTCCAGCATGGCTCGAAACTAGTTGAGTATCTCGTCAAATTATTACGTGAGTAAGCCGAAAACGTAATAATTAATATTATATGATTTGATGATAATTTATAAGTATTCGCTTTCTTTACCAGGCATTATTACCTCAAAATTTGGAGAAGAATCCTGACGAGTGCTTCAAGAAGGCCCTCCTGTTCCCTCTCTTGGAGATAGACCCTCCCAAGCAGTGTCTTTTCTTGCTTGTGGATGCTATCGACGAGGGAATCTCTGGTGGTGAGTTGAATTTTTTGCCGTGCAACGTGTCGCGGGTTCGATTCCCGCAAGGAGCAACTCTTTGTGCGATTCACAAATTGTTGTTCCGGGTCTGGGTGTGCTGTGTATGTGAAATTGTATGTTTGGAACCGCACCAATGGCACAGGAGAAAATCCTAGTGTGGGGCAACGTTTAAAAACATTACAAAAAAAAAAAAATTCTTCCCTATTTTATTGAATAGTAGGCAAGTAAGCGGACTCACTGATGATCAGAGTCGCCTGTAACAACCAGACAGATACAGACAACAGGAAATCAGGTCTTCTGAAAGGTCTGCTAAATGTGTTAGTTTGTCCGTCAGGTACGTGCGAGGAGGGCTCGGTAGCGGAGGGCTCGGCGTCGGTGGCGCGGCTCCTGGCGCGGCACCAGCATCTGTTCCCGCACTGGTTGCTGCTCGTCTGTACCGCCAGGAAGCATTGCAGGAACCTCACCAGGATGTTCACTGGTAATACACCACTTTCCTCGTCAAACACAGACGCATTTTAGGTTTTTATGATTTACAACAGGTTTCCGAAAGGCCGATCAATGTTAAAATCAATTCAATCTCTTGTCAAGTCATCTGATTGGTTGACTGAATTCTCAACAACCAATCAGATGACTTGACAAGAGATTTGACACCTAGTTAGTTGATTCTAACATTGATCGGCTTTCGGAAACCGGGCATTAGTGTTTGGATTAAATCCCTAATTAGAATTCTACCTCTTCTGCTTGATTGTTCGAGGGTTAAGGAAAAAAACGGCAATCGATTTTTTTTTGTGGTAAGAGCGCAAAAGATAAGACTATTTACCTGATGGTAAACAATTAAGACCGTCCATGGACACCCGCAATAACGGAGGCGTTACCGACCTTTTAGAGATTAGAGATTAGGAGATTTTGTGATTGAGGAGGGTTAGGATTGGGCTTGCGGTAACCTCACTCACACGGTGAAACACAACGCTGTGGTTGTTTCAAATTCAAAGTCAAAATCATTTATTTCAATTAGACCACAGTAGGCATTTTTGAAAGTCAAGCAAAAAAGGGAAAAAAGTATTTCAAGAGTTTTAACTCTGTCCTCCAGTAAAGCTATCTAGTTTTACTCCGGTTTTCTGTGAGGCCGTAGTATCACTTTGATCTCTCACCTTAAAATACGAGACACAGGCTTATTAGCACCTATAAATGCACTACATAATGTTTCAGGGTTCCGCAAGATAACCTTGGATGAACTGCAACGCGCGCATGTATCAGCCGACGTGCAACGCTACGTACTGGCTCGTCTGGACACTGAACCCCGACTCAGGTGAGGTTTTTTTTCATCATCGGCGTCTTTAATGCCAATATTAGATAGTTTTCTTAGCATTCATATTCACGTTATTATGGCCATACAATGAAGTCCAGAAATGTTTTTTTTTAAACTATGATTTTCTCCTGTGTCGTGGGTGCGTTTACAAACATACAATTCCACATGCACATGACACCCAGACCCGGAACAACAATTTGTGGATCACACAAAGAGTTGTTTCGTGCGGGAATCGAAACCGCGACACGTTGCACGACAGCCGGTTGCCCAGCCACCGCGCCAACTGTGCAGTCATGTCAATGTATTAATGTCTCTACGATTATTCCTATTCTTTTAATAGTACTAGCGACCGGCTCTTGTTTCGCATGGGTAGCCAAAAACTTCCAAGCCGGAGTTGCGGGGTAAGCGCAATGAGGCACCGCGACCTCGGCTCAGAGCAGGAGAAGGAACGGGGGGGTTTTTAGTCAGTAAGAGTCTGACACTCCCTCCCACCCGGCCCTGGGCGGGAGAAGTCATTTGATGATTTTCCCCTCACAAAAAAAAGCCAAAAACTTTCAACAAAATTTCCCCTATTCTTTTCTTATATTTTTACTGATAAAAATTCAACAAATTGGCAAAATTGTTTTAGGCGTTGTCAAGTTATGAGCTTAGCAAAACATTTACCTTTACCTTTTTGTTTTCTTTTTCATGGTAGGTATAGTTCGACAAACGAGCAGACGGATTACCTGATGGTAAGCAATCAATAGTTGCGAGTGCGTTACCGGCCTTTTAGGGATAAAGGTTTCGGATATTTACTCACTCACTCACACGGCGAAACACAACGCTGTGGTTGCTTCACGCCGGTTTTCTGTGAGGCCGTGGTATCACTCCGATCGAGCCGAAACATGACTCTCCCACACTTATGTATCAAAATACTTTTTTTATACATATAAGGAAAATTTAGATGATTTTTTTTATGATATTTCTTCGTTTTCTTCAGGGCTCGAGTGTCGAGTGACTCCACGGCGGCGGCGGCGGCGGCCGCAGCCTTAGACCATCTGCGGATCAAGAGTGACGGCTGTCTGCTTTACTTGGAGAAGGTAAAAGTCAAAATCATTTATTACAGGCACTTTTGAACCTCAAACAAAATTTTAAAGATAAAATCTGTCAGTCTGTCGGTCAGTCCCCTTAGTGAAGCTATTTGCTCGTTCCAAAGTGTAGATTCCTATGGAGAAGAACGAACAAAATACTACATGGTTACTCTTATGCAATCAGTTTCACATACAAATTCTTTTTTACATTATTAAGTTGGTTCGATTATGTGAGAACAGTGTTTCACTTATATTTATTAAATATCTCGTTTAGCTTTACGTTTTTTAAAAGCAATTTTCCAAAATATGCGATATTTTATATCTTCACTAGCTACTCTCGCGCGGTTTCACCCACTGCTGGACTCCTATTGGTCGTAGCATGATGTCTTAAAGCTTAAAGCCTTCCTCTATAAATGGAACAACGAACACAAAAATAATTATTCGCTTCGAACCAGTAGTTCCGGAGATAAGCGCGTTCAAACAAACAAACAAAAGCTCCACCTTTATAATCATTTATACTTATTTATAACAATTTCGTGTCACGTGTTTGTCCGCAATGGACTCCTAAACTACTAAACCGATTTCAAATGTGATTTGCATTCCGTGTGCATTTTAATCCAACTTGAAAGATAGGATAGCTTACATCTCAATTTATAGTCACAATATTATTTACCTTAGCCATAGCAACGCGTGGCTGGGTCTGCTAGTCTAACAGGTTTCTGAAAGGCTTGTCAACGCTAAAATTAACTAATCTCCTGTTAAATCTCTTGTCAAGTCATCTGATTGGTTGTTGATAATTTAGTCAACCAATCAGATGACTTGACAAGAGATTAAATTCATTTTAACATTGATCGGCCTTTCGGAAACCGGGTGTTAGTATTGATTATTGAACCGAAAATTTTTATTAAACTATGTCATATTAATTTTGTACTTGCAGGTGCTAGATGGTGTGGCGGACGGGTTCATAGCTCTGAGGGAGATTAGAGAGATCCCCGGCACTCTGAATGGACTCTATCTCTGGCTCGCGCAGCGACTCTTTCATGGGAGACGATTCACCAAGGTATGTTTTCTTATGGGATTGGTCGGTAAACTACCGGACTGACTTGATGGTAAGCAATCCAGGCCGTCTATGGACTCTCAACAACCCAGAACATGTATGTTGCCGGATGTTATTTTAGAGATTGGTGGATGGGATATGGCTTGGGCTACTCCCACAATATGGCGTGGGGAAAGGGGTTCGTGTATGTTGTATGGATGATGGGGTTTGGGATATATGTTACGGGGATCACGAATGGAGAAGTCGGTATGTGGAATTGGGTTGAGGTGTAAGGGGGGGTTGAGCCATGGGGGTTGAGCCATGGGGTATTGGGGATGGCGATGATAAATTTTGGTTTGGGGATCTAGGATGATGGATCAGGGGATTGGTGATTGAGCTTGGGGTACGGGGGATGGGGGTTGGTATTTAAGAAATGTGGGATCACGGATGGGGGATGGGGGATAGGGAGCAATGGTTGAGGGATGGGGTATTGAAGATGGCGATGAGAAATTTTGGATTGGGGATCGGGGATAGATGATGAGAGATGGTGAGACCAGTGTTCTCAATTTTCTTCTCCCGCAGGTACGTCTCCTGCTGGACGTGTTGCTGGCGGCGCGGTGCGGGGTCACGGAGGAGATGCTGTACAAGTGCCTCCTCACCAAGGAGTATTCCGTCACCAGGGAGGACTTCAACCGACGACTGCATCTACTCAGGCGGTCAGTATACTTAGAAATAAGATAACTTTGATTGCACGGTTAACGTGGTGGCTGGGCAACTGGCTGCCGTGCAACGTGTCGCGGGTTCGATTCCAGTTTGAAACAACACGTTGTTTGTTCCACAGATTGTTGTTTTGGGTCTGGGAGTGATGTGTATGTGAAATTGTATGTTTGTAAACGAACTAACGACACAGGAGAAAATCCTAGAGAGGGGCAACGTTTTTTTTTAAATATATCAATAATACTGACTAATTTCTTGGTATATCTTCATTTCAGCATCCTCGTCATGGAGCGTTCTACTGGCTACCTGTCAATGTTCCATCACTCTTTCGCCAAGTGGCTGGTGGATGTCAAACACTGCACTCGTCGATATCTCTGCTGTCCCACTGAGGGACATGCCGCTATAGCCATGTACTACACGCTAGACGCCAAGAGGTATGTCCAATAATATAAATTTCGTAAAAACTTTTATGAATTTTTCGAGGAATGCTCGTCTAGTTTCTAGGAACAGCGGGGCTCATAATACAAAGTTATCTTAAAATACATTTCTAAGACTTCAAAATTTTTTCTCGTCGTGTTTCGTGGTATAACCGGGCTCATAATACAAAGTTACGTTAATTTTGCACACATAAGATAATATTAGATTATGCTATTACTAAGTGTGTAGCGACGTCTATCGTAACAACAATAACAACAGCACCAATCACTTGCAAGATCCTACATCGCGGTATAAGAGTTCTCAACGCAATTAGAACCGATACAAATATCCCGACAACAACCGTCGGGCAATAGCCCACCAGGCACGAACACCTCGCCTGGTCGGAGGATCCTCCCTTTTCAATGGAGGATGAGGAACTTTCCACCCTGTTCTATCAACCTCTAAAAGTGATTCTCGAAAAACTGAAATGAACCTGTAATACTGTAGTGAGGATCGAACCTAATGATACCTCTTAATTAACGGTAATCAAAGAAAATAAAGATTATACAATACAACTAGCCGACCCAGCCACGCGTTGCTGCGGCTAAGGTTCTTGACATTTTACATATGAACAAATAATTTGCAACAAAATAATATTGTGACTATAAATTGAGATGTAAGCTATCCTATCTTTCAAGTTGGATCAAAATGCACACGGAATGCAAATCGCATTTAAAATCGGTTTAGTAGTTTAGGAGTCCATCGCCACGTGTCACACGAAATTGTTAAATATATAGATTTATATATTTGACTGCACGGTTGGTGCGGTGGCTGGGCAAGTGGCTGCCGTGCAACGTGTCGCGGGTTCGATTCCCGCACGGAACAACACTTTGTGTGATCCACAAATTGTTGTTTCGGGTCTGGGTGTCATGTGTATGTGACATTGTATTTTTGTAAACGCACCCACAACCCAGGAGAAAATCCTAAAGTGGGGCATTTATTTATTTTAAATAAAATAAATAATTTATTTTAAATAAAATAAATTATTTATTTTAAATAAAAAAAATATATCAGGTCGATAATCTAAACAAAAGTTCAATGATGAAAAAATTGATTTTAATTGATATGTTTTCCTTACAGGCTAAGTGCGTTGGAGATCCACAACTATGTGTTCCACATGACGAGCTTGGAACAACACATGGCTTCGCAGAAGAAAAGCAAAAACACGTGAGTATCATATACGTAACATATAATCTTTTTTTATATATATAAATGGATCGCAAAATGTGTTGGTAAGCGCATAACTCAACAAAGCCTGGACCAATTTTGCTAATTCTTTTTTGTTGTGTTTTTTATTGTCAGGAGAAGGTTCTTATCAAAGAAAACATTAGAAAAGTAGAGGGGAAGATTAGGAAAAAGTGACCCTTTGATAGCGAGGTAGTTGGACCCGTGCGAAGCGGGGGCGGGCCGCTAGTTTATTATAACTACTTCATACTTTCTTTAAGCTGTACCGCACTGGGTCCATATTGAGACTAATTCCTAAAATGTACTACCTGTCTATTAACACATGGAATGCTAATAAATAACTGCACGGTTGGTGCGGTGGCTGGGCAACTGGTTGCCGTGCAACGTGTCGCTGGTTCGATTTCCGCCCGGAACAACTTTACAAATTGTTGTTCCGGGTCTATGTGTGATGTGTATTTGAATTGTATGTTTGGACATAGGAGAAAATCCTGCTCGACCTAGTTTAGGGCAACGTTTTTTTAAAGAAAAATAATAACAAAAGAATTGGTATTTAAATTAACAGTGAACAGAAAGAAGATGAACTGGACTTGCACACGCTGATACTGCTGTGGGTGCTGGATTCCGGCTGCGATGTCGAGGCTGCGCTACGACGGGAGAGCGATACTTACAGGCGGCTGGACATGGATGATACACAGGTATGGTCATCATCATCCAATTGCATTGATGGTAACTCCATTAGACTTCCACAGACTGGTAGATGATAGCATTGAAAGAAAGAAGAAAGAAAGAAAAAGTATTTATTCGCGTCTAGGACGCATATAAGGCACAGATCAAACAAGTATATAAATATAAAACAAAAAAAAAACATGAGTGCTTAAACACAAGAACAAAAAACATAGTAATACAATATAAAAAGAGAGTAATATAAGGAAAAATATGCGCCACAAGCGAACGCGAAATGGCCCTTTCTCAGCATATGCTTCGACACTATGCGAGACAGTGTCGCAGCGCTGATTTTCAGCGATGGCCGACAACTAACATCTGACGCTAATCGGTGCAGAAACTAAAATTTATAATAAATAAAATAAGATAATAAAAAGTGATACATATTTATATACATGTGGGTAATATACTACTATAAAACAAAATTCATAATATTAATGGAGGAGAGAAAAAATAATAAAAAATATAGTATGTATAATCATCTGACGAGAGTGGCAACACTCTCAATACAAATGTTGCAAATGGATCAACAAAAGCTGAGTTTCAGATTTCACCATGGTCATCATTCTCATAATATTGCCATAAGCGCCATAACGTCGTACATATTGCAATTAGTTCTATGTTAAAAGGAGAAGGTTACGATAGAGTAAAAAAGCGTCTTGGAGAAAAGTGACCAAATTGTTTTTTTTTATGTAGTAGGTCGGCAAACGAGCAGACGGATTACCTGATGGTAAGCAATCAGCGCCGCCCATGTCACCCGCAACGGAGGAGTCACGAGGGACTGTGGTTGTTTCACGCCGGTTTTCTGTGAGGCCGTGGTATTACTCCGGTTGATCCGACACATTCGTGCCGAAGCATGACTCTCCCACACTCCATGTTTAAACCAATGTTTCCTAATTCGATCATTTAAACTTTTTTGTCGCTTTAAAAATTTGTAGTAGTAATTTTAGGAGGAGCTGCCACCATTGAACCGTCAGAGATACTTCAATTTTACACACGTAACTGTTTTACGAGATACCACGTCCATTTTCAAGTTACAATAAGGCCCGTAAACACGAGAAGCATGAGTGTCTAAAAACAGTAATTTGAATATTAAGATTGTTTTTTTGGTTTTCAGAAACTCGATATGAAATCTGAAGAAAAAGATGGCGATCCTGAATCTGAAAGCAAGGATTCGGTGTCAGGTGAGTGATTATATTTTATTTTTATTACTACCTGTCGCCTTGTATATTGATAAAAAGTAATGTGTCCTATTTCGGATTCCAGAGGATACGGGTACAATAATCTATACTAAATGTTATATTATTGAAATTGTAAAACAATTTTTTTTTATAGAGTAACGATGAGTTTCTTGCTCGTTCTTCTCCATTCGAATCTACAATTTGGAATGAGCACCTAGCTTCACTGACGAACAGACTGACAGACTTATTCTATTTTGACGTTACAAAAGTACCTATTTATGGTTTAATTGGATTAAAAGTGATTTTGACTTTGAATTTACACTCCAATACCAACATTAACCACCATCACTCCGGTCGTAAGCCCCGCTGCTTTCGGTCGTGTTTAACCTAAACTACTATCGGTTTCTAATAGAAAACCAGTGTTTCTCAAAGTTTTTTTGTTTTCCCTTCGAATAAGCTATTCAGCCATTACATAACAAAATGGAAAAGTGTGGTGTGTGCAGTGAAAATTTATCGGAAGGTCCTCATTGTGCAACATGTGAGCAATGGTTTCATTACCAATGTGCAGGAGTCACCAAGTCTGGCTACCAGAGGCTCTCCAAGGACAAAAAACTTAATTGGCGTTGCGTGAAGTGCAAACCAACAGAGACTGCACATCCACCAAACTCTCCTAGACCTGACTCAGAATCGGACCTCACGGGCACCGAAGCTGTCCTGACTGAGATACGTGCCCCGTCGGCAAAATTTGCACCATTAGAAGGACTAAAAGAGGAGGTTTTAGCCTTAAAAAAAGAATTTCTGGACTTTAAATCTTCTATGAATACTCAATTCTCCGACGTCGTCAATGAATTCAGATCGAAAATTAATGAAATGGAGCAGCGAATTGTTTTAATGGAAAAAGTCCAATGTCAAGTTGATCAACTCCAGGAACGAATAGATCAACTAGAGGAAGGTTCGAATAGGAATGAACAGTGGCTTCGCATGAACAACATCGAGTTAAAGGGAGTTCCACAGTCTAACAATGAAAACCTTATTGATATTGTTGCCAAGATCGGAGCTAGGATTAATTATCCGGTATCTAAAAACCTAATTAACTTTATATCTAGAGTTCCATCTCAGCAAAAAGAACACTTCAAACCTATAATAGTAGGATTCTGTAACAGATATATAAAAGAAGACTTCATAGCTGCGGCCCGATATGAGCTGAAGACATCGCCACTCACGGTCAGTCAATTAGGGCTGTCCGGTAATCAAAGAATCTTTATAAATGACCACCTTACTCCAAAAAACAAAAATCTTTTGTCAAAAGCAAAGAAGACGGCGGCAGAAATGAATTTTCAGTATGTGTGGGTCAAACATTCAAAGATCCACGTAAGAAAATCGGATACCACCCCAGTGATCTTGATCAAATCAGAAAAGGATCTAACAAAAATAGTATAATTTTCATATATTTACATAACATTCACTTATTTTTATTGTTTAATTTGCATTCATTACTTGTTTATTATCTTCAGTTTGAGAATCACTTCCCGCGGAGTGCTAATCGTGTTTTCCTATTGACGCTGCGCAGTGTCACAGTGCGTAAATGCAATATTCTAAACTTCAATTTATTTAATATGAATCTGGCCCATTACATTATCAGCGTAAATGCGTTCACAATAAAGTCCTTTTTTCCACACCGCTCATTAACACTTATTACTAAATGTTACTGGTCACCGTCGACTTGCTACCGGTTATCGCCTTTTGTTTCTATTCAAAAGCTACACTCAAAATACTCATTTGTGTTTTACTGTGTATTGCTGTGCCTACTTATCTCTTCTATTCGAATACTTATTTCTACCTGCATTCTTAATTATTATAGTATAGATTATGAATTAAATAAAGTAATTTTGCTGTGCCTTTTAAAATACTACGTAACTTCGATTGTGTATTATAAATATGTAAATAATTTCGTTATAGTTCATCTTTGGAATGGCTCCACTTAATATTTACTATCAAAATGTGCGTGGACTGCGTACGAAGACGGTTGATTTCTTTCGTAGTGTTTGTTCTAAGTCGTATGATGTTATAGTTTTAACCGAAACATGGTTAGATGAAAGTATTTATAGCAGTGAATTATTTGACAATCGCTATCTTGTTTGGCGGCGTGATCGCGATTATTCTCGTACCGCGCAAAAGCGAGGTGGTGGTGTATTGATTGCGGTCAAAAGTGAAATAACGGCAATTGGAAAAAAATGCTGGTGTAGCACTGCTGAAGATATCTGAGTGTCCCTTAGATTAAAACGATCTAGACCTCAAGTGACCTATAGTTTACATTTATGCGGGCTGTACCTTTGCAGTGAAAATACAGGTAATTCGTACAACATTCAGTTATCTAATTACACAAATAAACTCAATAATTTATTGCTAACTCATCCATTGGATAAATTTGTAATTTTGGGTGATTTTAATTTTGGTAAAAATGTAGATTGGTGTCAAAGTTCGACTAATAGTGCGGAGTTATTACCACTGAATAGTTCAGGTGAGCATATCATAAAATTCTTTGACACTGTTCAAACTTATGGTTTATCGCAGTATAACGGTCAACGCAATGTTAATGACAGACTTTTAGACCTCGTTTTTTCTAATGATATCGTGCGTGTTACTGAAAATACTGACCCATTAGATATCCCCATTGATTCACATCACAAACCGCTACTTATTCTTGCCGAGTTCGTAGAAATTCATAAGTTAGACTACAATATAACTAATCGGTATCATTACTCCATCGGTGACTACTCAGCCATTGCGTCCGAACTTAACAATGTAAACTGGACCCCATTGCTGCATAAAGATTATACGTCAATTGAGGACGCCGTAGCAAATTTTTACAATAAATTATATGAAGTAAGAGATAAGCACATACCATTGAAATCAACAAAGTTTTCCACTTATCCTCCTTGGTATAACTCGGCCTTAATTAAAATTCTAAAAGAAAAATATAAATATCATCAAAAATATAAAAAATACAGCAACTTATCTGATTATCACTCATTTTCAATATTACGTACTAGGGCAAAGGATATGGATAAAAAATGTTTCAACATTTATATAGATAAAATTGAACCATCCATAATAAAAAATCCTAAAGCTTTCTGGTCGTATGTGAAGAGTAGGAGGAAAACTGGCACGTTACCCAATGTAATGCAGTATAACGACATAACAGCGCATTCTGGTGAGGAGATTAGCAACTTGTTTGCTAATTATTTTTATTCCACATTCCAAGAACCAGATCCAAACATTTCTTTTAACAGTACTTGCCGTGGGGATGGGACTATGTCTATGTGTAATATTGAGGTAGATAAGTCACATGTGCTAAAATTGTTAAAGACATTAGACCTCTCCAAATCAGGTGGCCCGGACCTTATACCACCCATCTTTATAGTTAATTGTGCTGATAGCGTAGTGGAGCCTTTATGTATTTTATTTAGACGTTCTTTAAGTGAGGGGTATGTGCCAAAAATTTAGAAGTCGGCATTTGTCACTCCAGTCTTTAAGAAAGGTGATAAATCAGATATTAAAAATTATCGACCTATATCCAAAATATGTTTATTCTCAAAAATACTGGAGCGATTAGTATATAATGACATTTACCCGGCACTTCAATTTAACTTTGGAGATGAGCAGCATGGCTTTCTTAAAAAGCGTTCAACGACAACTAATCTTATATTATCACATGAATACATAACATCAGGTATGGAAGAACACGCACAGGTCGACGTGATTTATACCGATTATAGTAAGTGCTTTGACCGTATAGATCATCGGGTACTTTTGGAGAAATTACTATCAGTCGGTGTACACGGTGACCTGTTTCGTTGGTTCACTTCTT